GATCCTCTCTAAGAAGCTTCTGTGGTTAATAATACCAGGAGCTGGGGGTCACACTGAAGCAGCAAAAACAGAGCTCCATTCTACGGTGTTCAACTCTACGGCGCTCAACTTAACTCCAGCAGCACCTCCGGGAGGCCGGTTGTCGCCTGCCGGTATTTTCCAAACGACAGTCCGCTCATCTCTAGATTGCCGTGCAGCCTTCTGGCTACTTGAAACGAACGATGTAGGTAAGAGCGCCAAGCTATTCCTTCCGGAGGACCTCCCCTCCCACCGCCCCGGAGACATCCGCGGTGGCCTCCCAGTTACACAACGCCCCGCGCGGGTCCTCACCTGAAGCTGGTGCGTGTGCAACAAGTAGCCTCTCACGAAGAGCCAATAGAGGCTCTCAAGAGGTCCCGTTCCGGGCAACTCCTCCTGTCTCTTGAGCTGCTCTTCATGCCGGGGGACCGTAGCTGCCTCTGCAGCGCTAGAAGTAGCCCTCCAAAGGGTAGCGGGGCGGGGTACTCCGGACGGCGACTGCAGGCAGCGCCTCAATGTCCCGGCGAAGCAGCCCCACTTCGCCATAGCGCGACTGGACGACTAGCCGAGAAGAAAGTGGAAAACAGTGAAAGGAAGTTGACTTCCAGCCAAGCGCGGGAGGAGCTGTCCAAAGACGTAAACGTGAAGAGGGAAAAAAAAAGTAGAAGCGGGCGGACACAGTTAATAGCCATTGATTCTTCGTGGACTCGCTTTCCCAAGAGGCCGTGGGCGGGGCGATTCAAGGTCAAAAACACCCTTCCCCGCCCATGAGCTGTCGGATCTAGATACTTAGATATGATTACGTTGGGGATGTTTTGAATTACGATGCCCAGTTCTACCAGTTTTGGAAGATTCGGCACTGCAATACTGGGATCGCGAGTTTCTTCCCAGGATCAGAGCAGAGGCCTCTCTGACAATACCTTCCGATCAAAACCCCCTCCCGTTCCTCCCCCTTCGCTCAGCCTATTAAGGGACAATTCGCATTGTGGGCAGCCGAAAAGTTAGTACGGTATTGCCCTAGCACAGGGGTCTTTAAACTTGGCCCTTTTGTTGTGGTGGAAAAACCACGATACTTACATCAGAAGACAAGACCACGAAGGGTTGGAGAACACAGGTTTATTTGCGCAAAGGTTCAGAGCATTCATATGACAAATTCTGAACCCTGGGCTATTCCCAGCGTGTTATTCTTATACAGCTTGCCACCCACGCCTAACCCAATGGATGACTTCTTATCTACCTTTAACACACTAAAAGAGGGAAGTTCATGTCTTGAGACCACACAAATAGGAAAAAGGGAAGTTGATACAATTGACAGAAAACCACACTGCTCTACACCGGTAATATCTTACACCATCTGAGACCTTCAGTTAACATTTATTGTAAAAAGGTTTCTTCATAGAATTACACACAGGTCATCACACACAGCCAGTTTATAATATTAGTTAATGCTTGCTAAACATCACTCCTGTTAATTAAAATATTTGTTTATAGTATTTTTCCATCCCTCTCTCCATCTCTGCCTCATTATGACTTGTGGGCTTCAACTCCCAGAATTCCTCAGCCAGCGTGCCTGGCTGAGGAATTTTGGGAGTTGAAGTCCACAAGCGTGCCTGGCTGAGGAATTTTGGGAGTTGAAGTCCACAAGCGTGCCTGGCTGAGGAATTTTGGGAGGAATTTTGGGAGTTGAAGTCCACAAGCCATAAAAGGGCCAAGTTTGAAGACCCCTGCCCTAGCAAATCATACTGAGATTCTACTTTCGGTTTAGAGTGGGTAGAGGAAAATTGTAGCAAAACAAACCGAAGGAGCAGCACAATTCAGCATCTTAATCCTGAATCATCTCTCTGAATTGAAGCAAAACACGTACAGTATGTAGCATTTGTAAATGGAAAGATGCCTAAAAGGTTTCCCACGGTATTAGGTTTAATTTTACCAGAGAAACCTCATTAAAAAGGTGAGAGTTGCTGGCATACTGAAGCAATTAAAGGATCAGATTTTCTCTGAAGTCAGTACAATAAATAAGTGGCAAATTCTCTTTTTGTGCTTCCTTCTTTCAGCTTCTCCCATGAAAATATGTGAACTCATGGTCTAGCTAAAACAATGCATCTGGCCTGTAAGGAATAACTTTTTCCAACATGTTTTTTCGACTTCCCAATCTACCCTGCAGTCCTGAGATTTTGTGGTGACCTTCACCCACCCATTGACATCCAAACCTTGCTTAGATTTTTTTCTTTGAGATCAGCGATGTGCTGCCGCTTGCTGTGACATCAGTAAGCATCAGAATGACTGAAAATGGAAAACAACATCCAAGTTAGTAAGCTCATTTGGCATCAATAACCTGAGGGCAGACAAAGTCATAAAAGAATTCTACCAGTTCAGACTTGCTAGATGTCTTTATATTTGCTTTGAACAGCAGCACTCTCCATGCCTACACAGATGTTTTATGATGGCATCACTTTCTATAAGCAGGGAGAGGACTTTGCTTTTGGAATAATTAAGTTAGAAATTGAATCCGTATGGAAAATTAAAACCTTAGTTATTATAGGGTAGCCTATAATCTTAAAAAGAAAGAAATCTCTCTTTTTCTTTATTCTCTCTCCCCCTCCCTCCCAACATACTGGTTCTTAAGGGATTGGAAAGAAATGAACAGAGTTTCAGCTGAAGCCCAAGAGGTATGCTTTGGTAACTAATAAACATGTCTCAGCTTGTTTTAAAATTGCCTGTTGCAGTTCTGTTAATATATATGCTCACTGGATTTGTTACTTTAATCATTACACGTATCATGATCAGTTGAGAACATATGGAATAAGAGGAATATACAATCTCCAAGTATATTCTGTTCTATCTTGCCTATTTCAGGGTTGAGGACAACCTTGATGAGGAGGGCAAAATGGGGGCAATTTCCTTCAGACGCAAACATCTGGCGATCCCATCCAAAATATGAAACAGTATTTGAGATGATCAGCTGGATCAATATTTTAAATTCAAGACAGCGTAAAGTTACTTTTTCAGCACTGTCAAAAATTCGGATAGTTGCTAAACAGGCCAGTTGTTAAGTGAGGACTATCTGTACAGGTATTTAGTTAAAGTATAACTTCAACAGTTATTGTAATAATTTGGGATTCCCTTCATACTCATATTGATTCAACTGGAAAAAAGTGCTTCAGCATTGGAGGCAGTGGACCAAACGTCTGTCAACTCTTTTTCCCTGAATTCGTCAGAGAACAGCCCTACTGAGAACCAATGCAAAATAAAATAATTGGTGGGACCCATAGCTCAAACAAGAGACTAAGTGGACACAATCTAAGTGTGTTAAATTCCAGAGGCCTAGAAGTAGCCTTTGACCTGTGGTTGCAGTGTTTTTGCTATTCTGCAATTGATGTAGATAATTTTTAACCCCAGTTATCAGTCAGTTTAACTCTGAAGCTTTATTTAAGGGCAAACTTTGTTCTGGAGTCTCCCTTGAACCCGTGTAATCTACCTGGCATCTAATTTCCCCCTTCATTCTTGCAAAATAATTAAGCTCATTGGATTCACACAGTAAAGTTGCACTATCATTGCACTATTGTTGCATTTAGACAACGCTATATATTGCTTTCCAGCTACTTACACATCTTTCAAAAACACAGCATATCTGTCAGAGATAAAGGTAATGAACGCTTAGGTTTTAATTAAAATTACAATTTACCTGACAACGGAAAATGAAGGGAAAATAAAAGACACAGCTCTAAAATAATCTTGGGACTTTGCAAACATTGATGGGGGTTTTTTTTGTGCCTTCAAGTCAGATTTTTTTTGGGGGGGGTGTTCAAATACAGAGAATGTTGCCATTTCTGCTTCAGTGCAAATGGAATCTCAGGACACAGGAAGTACTGAATGTTGTCAGGAGGTGCACCTCTGAAGAATATTCTTTGGTGTCATCTTACAGGGGTCTTCAACCTTGACAACTTAAGACTTGTGGACTTCAGTTCCCAGAATTCCTCAGCCAGTTGTGAAATTCTGGGTCAGCAAGCGCTTCACTACCATTGCCTAAGGATTTTAACAGATTACAGACATCCTTGAATTGTTAAATTGTAGAAGGGCCATCCTGCTTCTGAACTGCATTTATGTATTTATCCCACCTTGAAAGGTGGAAAAAAGTCTGGAATTGGAACGTTCCACCTAAAACACACCAATATGCCAAATATGCAAGTTGGGAGTAATAGAAGCACCTTTTAAACTTCTCAGTAGACTAAGTGAAATGTCAGACCTCAGGGGAAAAGGTAGGGTCCTAGCAGACCACAAACTGGAGATCTCAGAGTTTTCATGTCCTATCAAGCCCCCAATTAACTGTACAACCGTTAGGAAGATTTAGCCATCCTCATATGATGAAGTTAAGGAAGTACGGTATTTGTTGGTGTTCCAAATCCAATGGTGCTGATTCTTTAGCACCGCATGACCTACTGATCATAAGAGGGATGTAGGTTTAGATAGAAATTGTCTCTGCCTGTCCTTTAGCTAAGGCATTGCTAATCAGAGGTCATTTCCATCTGTTTCCATCAGTGCTTCGAGACACTTGTGCACATAATATATGCTCCCAGACCTGCTTCCTGGTAGGATGCTACCACCAAGTACTAGATTTAACCTTTCCCTATACTTTCAGTTATAATAACTTGCTTTATTAGTCCTTGATCAGGTAAAACCCTTGCTCTATGAACACACATGCCCATACAGAATGCCTCCAAGAGTAATCTGTGGCTGGCAGAAATCCACTAAAATGAGCGCACAAATGCTCTCTGGGCATACAGGTGGATAAAAAATTTTGTCAACAGGTTGGGTCTCGCACATGAGTGAACAGCTGGTAAAATGATGAAACAAGTAGCTGTTGATCCATTAAGCCAGGGTTCTCCAATCTGATGTTTTCCAGATCTGTGGATTGTGCTAGCCAGGATCCTTATGGAATCATCTGAGCTTTCAAGAAAGATTTCCCTATTGTTCTTCTGCAATTACTCTGGCACTTAAGCCCTGGTTCTGGATGGACTTGGGCTTTTTACCTGAAAGTTGAAAGGATTAGCCATTCCCTTTATTGGAAGACTTGATTCACATATTGTGCTACATCATGGTGTATTTGCAAAAGCCACAGTTAGATTTACATAACATGCTAAGTCATAATCAATAATGTATCAATCACAGTGGCTAAGTTCATGCAACACATTATAACCAAATAAACCCAATCACATTATTGTAATATGAAAATATAGCTCATGCAGATTTCAGACAGATATGTACCTGGTTTGGGATGATATGTAGGGAACCTGTGCCTTGCAGGTATCATTTTAGGCATTTTATGGTAAAGGTGGAAAGTTCAAAATGGCGCCACCAAATTTCAAACCAAAATTAAAAATTCAAATCTGATCTGATTTGATTTCAGAATGGTATCCCCAACTTTATTTGTAACTAGATAAGCTGTGCCCTGTTGGATCATTGTTTCAGAGATATTTCCTTACCTAAACAGAACCAGAATGATCATGGGTAGGCAAAGAACTGGAGAGAGCAGAAAAAACTTCCAACTTCCTGTCAGCTTCTTCACTGAATTTCTTTGTGGGAAGATGACAGTGAGGATTGGAAACCTTCCTTCCTTCCTTCCTTCCTTCCTTCCTTCCTTCCTTCCTTCCTT